GGTGACATCCAACATTTAAGAGAACTAGCACAAAACATTGGGCACAACCAGTCATCCTGGAACCTTTCCTGGCTCTTTTCATGGTTACCAGACTTCCATTGGTTGAAAATTCTCATTGTTAGTATAATCACAGTCGCAATAGGTGGAGCCCTCCTTTGTTGCCTATGCCAATTAGCACCTTTAGGGTTAAAATGCCTAAAGGTCTGCACAACTCCCATCAGAAGCAAGGGACAGAGCAAGAAAACATCTCTCATGATGTGCCAAATTGATCACCACTACCGTATATATGAACCAGTTGGGCTAATCACTGATACATCAGTAATAGCCCAAAATGGGGGAATTGATGAGAGTTGGACACCCCCTCCCCAGCCCAACTAAGAAATAATCTAGGAACACCCCAACTAAACTGGGTCAACAGCAGCCTGAGGCTAAAACAGCAAACACTTGACACACACAATGAGGAACCAGCTAGCAGCAATCAGGACACAACAATAAAAGTAATTAACACCTTTTAGGCAAGAAAAAGGAACTAACAATAGTCACAAACCAGCAAATCAAGAAAGACAAATTTTAACTCACCAATTAGAAATGGTAAGTTTGTTACCAATCAGAAATGACAAGTTTGGAAACCACAAAAGGGTATAAAAACCCCTGTTTAAAGATCACTCTGTCTAGCTAGCCGGGGACTCGAGCTGAATTGTCACTCAACGCTGATCCTCGAAATAAAACCTCTTTCTGGTAGCTGGCTTCACGATCTATTTCTTCTGCACTGCGCTGTCAAGGAGAATCCCGGCTGGAAGAACCGAACGGGGGAATTCCTCCCAACACATTCTTATGACTTGCTGCATTGTTACTATCCATACCAAAGCACTCTTTGAAGGTGTGGGTGAGTTTAAAGATGGAGAAAATTATGTGTATTAATGAATGATGAAGGGTTAGAATCAATTTAAACCCAGTTTGCTTAACAAAGTAAAACATTCTTTTTCTGGCAATGGAAACTCCAGCTTAGATTTTAGGTCTGGATTTGAGAATGTCCCAAGGAGATTTTCATGATCAGGGTCAATAAGACCAGAAAAGTGTTTAGGTCATATAGATTGATAAATGTGATTGAATCTCCCTTCCGAGATGGATGTTTTTTTTAAAAAAATTGCTCAGTTCGTCTGCAATCTGGATTCAAATAATGTTTCAGAAAACCAGCTCTTTCGTGTGATTTCTGCATCCTTTGTCTTTGTGTGATGATAACCCAAATAGAGAACTAATGCTAAAAACAATAACAACAACAATGCTAAGTTTCTTCTTGGGAATCGGTTTAATGGCTATTTATAGTGGTGCAATAAAACACCTCAGATATTTGTATACATGTGTAAGTATTGATCTTTCCCTTTTGTCTGATGCTCTATACTCACGATGGCTTTCTTTATTGTAAACATTATACAGCCATCTACTGGGAAAATTCTATAATTGTATTGTCCCTTTATCTTACTTAGAATTACTCTCAATAAAGTTGAGAATATTTTCTATGAAACCAAGTTCCCTCCTCTGAAAAAAAAACATTAGGTTCTAAGTTAGAACCTATTATGAGAAAAAATATTAAGCACTGTAATAAAAGAAAAATGTTTGGAAGCTCAACATTAGATATAAACCCACATTCTCTAACCTGGTACCTCTCAGATGTATGATACTAACTCTTATCAGACACAGTCAGCATTATCTATTATGGAATGTAGACCAACCTATCTGAAAGGCATATAATGGGGGATGTTTGATATAAAGTAAAAAAAAAATCAGTAACACATCAATAGTTTCCAAGATTTTGTTGTACGTTGGGGAAATTATTCTGGAAGAAAATGACATTTATACCTTCTTTAGATCAGTTTTGGCCTGGTTCTACTCATATTTTGGCCATTAGGTTGCAAAAGTTCTAATACTGCAATTATAAGGAGAGTATAAATGTTTTTCTCAATCTGTGTAGCTTTGCTTGCTTTGTATAATTCTGGAAACAGATTTTAAGAACTTGCACTTGTTAGCTTTATCCAACTTTCTCCAAAGAGAAAAAGACAGATGTCTTTTCCCTTTCCACCCAATTTTTTGAATGATAGTCAAACTGATGCATTTAAACCATTTCTAATGCAATACTCTAGGTCTAGATTTTATCAATTTCCACAGCTATACTTCTAGATTCTAGAATGCCTGCAGCAGGGGTCTTCAAACTGAGCCCTTTTATGACTTGTGGACTTCAACTCCCAGAATTCCTCAGCCACTGAGGAATTCTGGGAGTTAAAGTCCACAAGTCAAAAAGGGGCCCAGTTTGAAGACCCCTGGCCTACAGTTTCTTCAGCACCCTGAAAGACATCAACATGATTGTCACTTTACTCTACTCATTGAGATAATCTGAGAAAGCTCCAGGTGTTTTAGTTATGCAACTAATAGTTGTGCCTCCTTTATAAGTATTCCAATTCTGTGAAATGCACTCACTTTTCCTGATTTATGTGGGATCTCTTGCATTCTGAAATTAAAAGTAGTAATCTAGACCAATAAATTATACTGGGCTGACAAATGAGTTATGTCCATCTCTAGTGGCTTCACCTATACACAATCATTCATATTTTTAAGCATGGAATGCTTTGTAAGAATGGAATGAAGTTCTATTAAGCAATCAACCATAACTGTTTCCAAAATTCTCCCAGGCAAAACCCCAACTAAATAGTTTTCTGAACTGTCATTTTTATTATTATTAGCAGATGTGAAACATTGTGGCTTTAGATAACCTGGATTGACTTAACCCAGTCTTTTAAATTAGACTGATGTGGACTACAGACACTCTATGGATGGAAAACATTGTTCATTCATGGAATGAATGAATGAATGAATGAATGAATGAATGAATGAATGAATGAATGAATACAACCAAGTTTCCACAAATGAAACTAAATATTTCCCTCCATAGAGTCTCCATACCACTCTTCAGGCTGCTTACCAATAATTTCAAAAGAGATGGAAGACCCCAAGGTAACCAGTTTTGGACTGAAAACAGAGAATTCTAGGGTGGTTTTTTTTTCTATAAATCAAGATCAAATAAACCTTTGGGGCTTAAGGGCATATTTAAAATGTATGTTGAGAGCATAGGTGACTCTACTCACAAAATGGCTGTCATGAGAGACACAAATAATCCACTTACCAGAAGGGATAGCAGCCCTTTTCCCTGGATACTTTCTACTATCCTGGTGAGATTTTTGTGAGGCCTAAAGGCAGTACTGCAAATAGATATGCTGCTAGAGGCTAATGCTTTCGAACATGACAGCTCCCTATTTATTTTTTCATTTAAAAGAATCATTAAAAAATAATCAGATGGGATAGGGTGCCTAATGGGTACCAAGGGAGAAGTCTGGGGGCTTGCTGGTGCCTGGAAGCACTGTAATGCAGTTTCATTTTCATTGGCTTGTTTAATCTTTTATATTTACTACAACCGAATAGTAAGAGTAATAATAAAAGTAACCGTTGCAAACATTTTAAATTTGTGTGGGTTTAACACTCTCCATCGTGGCATTCAAGAGCTCCTTGCTTTCAGGCAGGTTGTTTGCAAGTATTAAGGCTTCTCCCTCTTGAATCGAAACAGCAATGAGGTCTCTATATTTCTGCCCATAAATTTTTAATCATAGCCGCCTCCTTTCCACCACTGATTGCGTTCCCTACCGCAGCTAATGGCATGTCTTGTAATATTCATCCATGTAAAATATGTATATGGATGCCATTTCTTATTTTTCAAAGGAAGCTCACATAAAGCGAGCTGAATGCCTTTCAAACTAGGGCAAATTTGTTACATGTTTGATCACCGGGCTAATCAGAACATACAGGGGAAAGATACAAGGTTGGTATAATCATCTGGATGGCATTTTGCCACCTGCCTCAAACGTAAAGCCAGATGAAACCCAGGATGTAAATTTTATTTGACTTCAATGGGAATGGGGTCGAGTATCTAAATGCATGCCCTCTGGCTGGAATACATTCAAAGATGACATACCTTAAAAAGTCAACAGGTCAAATTACTAGAGGTGAATGAATTTTTAAACAAGAGGCATTTTGACGGCCATGATTTAATATCTCCAAATGTAATTACTTTATAAATGATTCCATGAAATGATTCCAGCTTTTGTTGCCAGTTAGTATAGTCTAACTATGGTGGAAATAGAGCCCCAGCCATCTTTCTTTCTTTCTTTCTTTCTTTCTTTCTTTATCTATCTTTCTCTTTCCTTCCTTCTTTTCTTCCTTCAATTATCATCTATTACTTTCCCTTATTGGTATCATTATAATGATTATATTACTTTGTTATTTGTATGTACATTGAGAGCTTCTGCACCAGAGACAAATTCCTTGTATGTCCAATCATACTTGGCTAATAAAGTATTCTACTCTACTCTACTCTGCTCTGCTCTACTCTACTCTACCCTACCCTACCCTACCCTACTCTACTATTTCCTTTCTTCTTCCTTCCCTTCCTTTCTTCAAAATGAAATTTCTTCAGAAAAATATTGACAGGATTCAACCCAAAGGTCTCCTGCTTTACACTCCAATTTTTTCTTAACTTTGTAATGAGCAGAGAGAAGATAAATCTCAGTCCATGGGTAGATCTCCAAACAAGCTGTAAATAGGCCAGCAAAGTTTCTGACTTCCAATATTTGTGTGTATGTTTGTGTATGTGAATGCTTGTGTGTGTGTTTGTGTGTCTCGAATCACTTTTGGCTCTTGCCGTCTGCCTAGACAAGTCTCTGCAGTTTTCTTGGCAATGTTTCAAAAGTTGTTTGCCACTATTTGAGGGGTGGGGTGGGGACTGGCTCAAGGAATTTGTATCTAAGGAAGGACTAGACTTTCTTCAACATAGAAAGACCTCAGTTGTTAATTAACAGAAATAGCTTTTCTATTCTGTACCAGTTTGATAGCCAGTTGACTTTGATTATCAGAAAAGGTGGTTGGTGTTATTATTATTTTAATATTTTCCATACCTGTTGGTTGGCATGTTCCTCCACTGTATCCTGGACAGCACTTCCACTCCAGTGAGGTCACTATAATATGTTTGATCCTGTAAACTTGCTGGGTCCTTGACTGGGAACTGCAAGGTGATTTGAAAAGCAGACATCAGTGGAGGTTAGGGTGAAGGGACATGATACAGGATGATAGATCAGTAAAAGGACACAGGGGGATTAGTCCTGAAGTTTATTGATTGTGAAAGATCACAAGCAAATGCTTTTTGACAGAATCACGGCATGTCAAAGATCATAATACTAAACATTTCAGGAGCACAAATGAATGCGAGAAGGCATTATATATAAAGGCATTATATATAAATGGAATGAATAAAGCGCGTTCACCAGGAGAGTTTAAAGTTAAAATACTTTAATTAAAGTATTTTACTATATTAAAAGGTTGCCAAGCTTTCGTTGGGAAAACTCCCCAACATCTTCAGGGCTGATAGGTGGGAGGGGGAATCGGAGTAAAGATTTCTTCCGTCGTTCTCTCGAGCACTTTTGTTCACATCTCCGTCGATCTCAGGGGGTATTGTTAAAGCTATGTTCCACCCTCTCCTGGCAGCACTGGCTCTCGTTGCAGCGGGGGGATTTAGTTCGATGTCATTGTGTATCCTACCATGGAGGCGGGGCTTCATCGGCTGCAATTTAACATCTTTCCTCTGCTGCGTGCTCCCGTATTTATCTTCGCTCGCATGTACAAGCATCAACTGGATGTGGTATTTTTCAATGTTTGAATCATCCTCCTCCATCATGGTGTCCTCCATGCTCATCTTCCCTCGTAGGTCAATATTCAAGTTAAATCTCCCCCATTTCTGTGAGCAAAAAGTCTGTTGGTATTTGGGCAGATTCCCCGCTCATGTTACTTTCCCTTTTATCAAGCGAACGGGTCGTCATCACATGTTTTTTCTCCCCTCTCTGTATGGGATATTCACCTTTATTATTATTATGGGTAGTGCTAAATTTAGTGGTTCTATCCTCAAATTTCTTAAGCGCTCCAATGTCATTATTGTTGTTTCCTCCAATCAAAGGGGGTGTGGTTTCTCCTTGATGTTGTTGGGAGGTGTCTGGGTAGTCTATATCAGATTGTTTCTGGTAGGGAGGAGGTGTAGCTCCTGATTTAGAATGTTGTGGATGTTGATTGTATGCCACCCCATCCGTGCTCCCATCTTCCCCTTAGCTCCCAACCCGCCGCCCTTTCGTGCGTGGGATGCACAGCAGTTCGTTACGATCTCCGTTCCTGTCAGTTTGGCGTCCGATTCAACTCTCCCCTCGGAGGAAATTCCAACTGCAGTCTTCGCGCATGCGCCCTCATGCTGTTGTCAACGAATTCTTCATTCATCAACGGGTGCGCACAGGAATTGCTAATAGGGGTGATCTAGAATCCATTGTATGGATTGCCCAGGTAATTACGTGGGAGAAACCTCTAAAAGAGTAAGGGCAAGAATACAGGAACACAAGCTGGCAATAAAAAGAGGGGAGCACTATTCGCAGATCCTCACTCACATGGTAGAGCTTGGACACAAGTTTGATTTCAATGGGGTGCAGGTTATTGCTAGTGATGCCTCCAAGAGCGGCAGACTCCTCAAAGAGGCTTGGTTCTCTGACTGTAAGTCTATTAATCGATGTGTGGAGTTACATCCTGCACACCAGGTCATGAAAGCTTGGGAGGCATGCATTTGTTCCAGACGGAGGAAGCACCCCATTGTTTGCAATCTCGATTGTCCCAATGAAGAGATAGACAATGAGGTAAGGGCGATCCTACCATCCGGAGTGCCCCCGGCTATTAGCAATTCCTGCGCGCACCCATTGATGAACGAAGAATTCGTTGACAACAGCAACCCATCCCCTGGTGCCCTGGATGCTCCAAACACTGCTCCCCTTCCCCCTCCCCTTCCTCGATATTGCGTCCGACCTACTGAACGGTATAGAGCACTCCTCCCCCCCACTCTTGAGGTGAAACAAGACAGCTCTCCTCACGGCGATTTTGGTGCTTGCGTTCTGGAGGATCCGCTTATTGTACCTGGCTTGGATGCCTGTTTGAAGATCGGAACCCCTGGAGTGGATGATGACTGCAACCGCCCCATTAAGGGTCCCATCATGTGTTCCCAAGTAGCACAGTGGAAGCGTGAGGGCGCACGCGCGAAGACCGCAGTTGGAATTTCCTCCGAGGGGAGAGTTGAATTGGACGCCAAACTGACAGGAATGGAGATCACAACGAACTGCTGTGCATCCCACGCACGGAAGGGCGGCGGGTTGGGGGCTATAGGGAAGATGGGAGCACGGATGGGGTGGCATGCCCCCTGAGAGTGATACGTCAGACACGGGGGAGGGAGATAGCTGGATCCGGGATTTCATCACAGGATCGGTCTGCAGTTACACAGGTTACTCTGGTGCGAAGTGACATGGAATGCTCACCTCCCAGCCTAGGAGCCACACGCAACAGAGAAGTAATCAGCTGCAAGAACTTAGAACTCAGAAATACTTCTGACATGAGTGATGGGAGGATCAATCGACCGGGCCCCATAACGAGGTCTATGAGCCGTGTGCAGGCGCGTTTGTGCTTATAAACGAGCTCCCCCACCCTCTGGCTTTTAACACCCTGACGATGATGGCAGCAATACAGCCATCGAAAGCTAGGTTATCTATTTATTAAACATTTAATTGTTTTACCTCCTGGTGCTCGTTTTTATCTTTTGAATATGTATACACCCAGGAGACTACGTTCCTCAATTTTTAGGTTAATTATATATATATATATATATATATATATATATATATATATATATATATATATAATCATTTGCTTTGTGAGGAAGGCTTTCAGGGATGTCTCAGAAACAGACATAACTTCCAAGAAAAAATAAGAAATTGTAGTACAATAAGATGGCATGCTTATATGGAACTGGCATCACATTGAAAAAAAATGAATACATTTTCCCTCAATGCTCAGAAGAAAACAAGATAACATAGAGGAAAAGTATCCTAGGAACACAGTGCCAAAACAGAAAAGATCCTTCTTCTGATCACTAGTCGTCACAAAAATGCAGAAAAGGCATTCAACTCTTAGACCCTAAATAACAACTCAGCATTTTTGCATGTCTTACAAAGTTGCAAACTTAGCATTTTACTAAATCAGCTATGCAAACCAATGCTTTTGTAGAGTCGGAGAGATTTTCCTCAATCAAATGTACATATTACAAGTTCTCTTTAAGCATGTGCTTAAGCATGCACTCATATACACTGTCCTAAGCTTCGCAATGTTGAATCTATATTTCCAAAACTGACTGTGTCTTCAATCCCATTTGTTAAAAACTTAATTCAGTTTCAGTAGCTATGACTTGAGAAAAGGTTGGTTTTAATGATCCTTCTGATAGGCAATTCTAAATATCCTCATTTGGAATAGATCCACCACCAAGCATCTGCTGAAGCTCCAGAACTTCAGTGACCGCTGTCTTTGACACACTCCTTTTTCATTTAGAAGCTGAAAGTAGCATCTGACAGTTGTAATTTGCCATTTTAGTTTCCCATTATGTTCCATCCTCAATCTGGGTACCTCCAGATATATGGACAATTTTGAGGCCAGGGAATTCTTCTTGAAGTCCACAATGGCTGGGCAAGACTGCTAATTATGCCACCTTTTATGAACTATACAAGATCAAAACAGGCACTTCCAGAAGAAGGGCATCAATTTTATAGCAAAGGGTGATAATTATAGCATATTACAAAAATAGCTTGCTATAAGGAGAGGATGAGACACTAAAAAGCAAATTATATCAAATGTAATCTTATTTATAGCCCTTACACTTGAGATTCCTATTTGAATTTTCATTACTTACACTGAAGGCAAGGAGTGCAGTAGGCTAAGGGAAAAACTGAATACATATCCATTTTTTCAGAAGTTAAAATTATGCCTTCAGTTTCAGCATGACTATGAATAAGATGCAATGCAAATGTGTGTAATTAAGAGCATGAAATCTAGTTCCGAAATACTCATGTCCACTCAAAGTTTCTGCTCAAGTGAATCCCTAGAAACCTTTTTGGGTTGCTAGAGTAACATCTAATTAGTGGGGAAATTTTTGCAGCCAAATTGCCTTCTGGGATTTACTCACATTTACATTGTCTTTCTTATCATTGAGGTCTACTCAGGATGATTTTGTAATCAAGTGACAACATATTCATAGTGGGCCATGCATTTGGGATCTACTCTGAAAATAAAGATCCCATCTTCGCAAAGTTCTAGACAGTATGGATGATTCTAAATATACTTTGTGCAATGAACAAAGTATTCAGTTTAGATTAATCCCTTCGTACAGAAAGATCAAGGGATATTTAATACCAAGGATGAATGACCCTCATTTTTTTCTCCATGTTGTCTGGCCATGCATGTAGACTTCTATTCCCCTAACTAAAAAAACAGTTTATTGTAGTAAGAAGTGAAGGAAGTCTTGGAAAGTGAAGTGTTAGGGAAGGAATATTCAGGATTTTATCAGTTAACAAGGAGTGAGTGGATCTTTTATTAGTGTGAGGGAGAGATTTTCAGAAATAGAGATGACATCTTCTGTTTTTAAGGCTTTTTGTGGGACAAGGCTGACTAAGAGTTGCAAACGTCTGTCTTGCTCCTTCCCTTAAAGTTTTTTTTATTGTTTTTTATTCCATTTAATCATTTACTTTTAAGAATTGAAGCTGTAGGAGAATGACAGGCAGAGCCCAGGGGTGGAGTCAAGAGAGGAATCAGCCTGGAATCATTAGGTGCCCACAAGCACTTAGTCCAACCCCTCTTGAATCCCATTAACTCTTATCTAGCACCAATTTAGTACTGAACATTAGTTGACTAGATTCTTGTGTATAGGCATGAGCAATAAATCAGCTTAATGGAACTTAATTTTTGGTCCTGATTCTTCGCAGCTCACAAAAGCTTATATGGTACATAGCAGAGAAACACTCTGAGCATTATATTTCTTTATAGGAAGTCCCTATAACCATTCCTGGGATAGATTCTACTTCTACTCCCCCAACCAAATAACAAGAAAGAAAATGTAATAGAATGGTAGAAAAAGCAAAACTCACAGTTTGCCTTCTGGTCATGACCCAAAGGATAAATAATGTTGTGCACAAAGTAAATTGTGAAAATACCCATGAAATATTCTCTAATTTCTTAAACTGCTTACTGCACTCCACCCTGCCTAGACCTTTGGCGGAGAGAAAAGTGAATCCCTTAAATCACTGTGTTCATGGTTTTTTAAACAATATCCTTTTTTTTTTGAGGGTATACAATCTGTCTATTTAATAGTTTGCTTGTCTTTGTCTCCCACAGAATTTGTATCTTGTAAGAATAAAAGCAACCATTGTGAAACAAATTATGGCATGGTGAGGTGGAGAAAATGCTAATATTGGCTAAAGGAAGAATGCTATGAATTCAAGACACATTTTGATGCTAATATTCGTGTCCTCAATACACTTCAGCATTTCAGAAGGTTTTCCCTGATCATCATTTAAATCCCTTTCACACATATCCAGTTATCTAAGAATAAGAAATGTGTTTGGATTGCTATGGATTGTTAATCAATTGTCTTCAGCTCCTTACATGAATTTCTGAGGTAAAACTAAGACTGCAGCCTGACCTGATTCAAAACAGAAATGATTTGGGGAAAACAACTCCATGCATATTTCAAATGCTGAATGACTATGTAATTAAATTTGCTGTTGATCTTGGATGAAGGGTATTTCAGACCCAGCAACAAAGATATGTACACTAAAATGGTTTTGAGTTTTATAAAAGGAGATGGATTACATTTTAAAAGAAATTGCTCCTAGAATTTAATCTGTGTTGCAGATATGCCAGCCTGCCACCTAGTGGAACAAAAAAGGTTTGAAGGCCCTGGAAAATCTGATTCATACATTTGGAGAATTAAAACAAATCTTTTCCCAAACTGGTCTCCTCTCGAAATGTTACATTTCTAGAATTTTCAAATGAAGGTCATGCTGGGTGAAGAATCTGGGGGGTTTTAGTATTTAAAACCTAGAAAGAAAGTATTAGATTGAGGAAAACTGAATGAAAATACTGATTGTTGTGCTCCTTTCAATAGGTTTAAAAATGCTCTGGTGGAGAAGACAAATAACTATTCATTTCAATTTCAGGAAATTCTCCTAGCAGAAGATTTTTATTTTTAAGATGTTGAAAACTTAAAAACCTAGCATCCAACACATAGGTAGAGATAAGCAAATCAGTTTGTTTCTAGGCTTCATTTTTTTTCTCTTAACGTTCCTCTTCTATCTCATTTATGCTTTAGATTTATCTTTTAATGTGTGAGATTTATCTTTTAATGTGTGAGAATTATTACTTAACCATATATCTACTTTTAAAATACCTTTTCTATCAAAATAGACTTTTTTAAAAAAATGGTTTTAGAGTTATTGGGGAAAATTTAGGAAGTTCAAAAGCTCTTAAATAAGTTTTCTGAATGAATAACAAAATAACAAAATAACATATTTGGCAATTCATATCTGTATTCACAAAGATCCATTACCAAAACATCCTTAATCATGAGTTGGCAATATGTAGCCTGGATACCACAAATAACCTAGACAGAAAAAAAAAATACCATTTCCGAACACAGAGGAGGTGACCACCCCTCTGTTCTGTTTAGATCTGACGATACTTACAAGCTTTCTTAGTTCAGAAAAACTTGTCAGTTTAGATTACTGTACAAGAGCTGGATGAAAAATAGATGAAATTCTGAGGCGCTACAAACTCATTGACTATGGATGTCTGCAAAATCTCATTGTATTTGTCAACTAGCCATTCTAAAACCTAGCCACCACCAGCTTGCCTTAGTCCAATTGCTGAAAGAGAATTCGGCCTTGTTTGAAAGCAGACTTCACCTATAGAAGTTACATAACATAATAGTGTTACACAACTTCATACTTGAATTGTCTTTTCTAACACACACGTTTTCACAGACAAGCTGGTTTGGCACACTGAAAGAGGGGTAGCGGTTTGTGGCGTCAAAAGCAATAAACACATACGATAAAAACTGGAAGTGTTTATTAAGCAAAGCACATGAAAGAATTACTTCAGCCACAAAGCACAATTTAAACAGGAAATATCTATTGGCAAGGCAGGAAAACAGCACTTACAATATTCAGTAGAAAATACGGGTAAATACGGGTCAAAAATACAGGTCAAAAATCTACATCCTTTAATAGTTCATTTAGTTTAGTTCAGTCTCTTTTCTTTAAAGGCAGCCACAGATATCCCTCATATTATTCTGGCTAGTGTTTACCACCTTTCATAGGTAGATCTAAACTGAGGTTTGTTTCTTGGAGTGATTGATAGAATGTTTATCTTTCTTTCTTAATTAATCAGATATCTCTCCAGACACTGGCAGATGGCAGACATTCCATAGATAAAGAGTATATATGGGTAAAGAAAATCTGCTTGACCATGACAGTCTAACTTCCTGTAGTTGGCTAACTTTATGATTAACAATTTAAGAGCATACTATATTGATACCATTAATTATAATCTAGAAATGTCAGAACAACTAAACACAGAAACAATTTTTCCCTCCTACCATCAGTCCGCTGAATACCTAATTCCTATAGTACTGACTCATGTCTAAGGATATTTACTCATGTAGTAGGACTGTAGTACTATTATTCTCATCTTTTCTACTACCTTCTCCTTCTGATATCTTTTGATTACATTACTTTGTTATTTATATGTACACTGAGCTCATGCATGGACACAAATTCCTTGTGTGTCCAATCTCACTTGACCAATAAAGAACTATTCTATTCTATTCTATTCTATTCTATTCTATTCTATTCTATTCTATTCTATTCCATCCCATCCCATCCCATCCCATCCCATCCCATCCCATCCCATCCCATCCCATCCCATCCCATCCCATCCTATTCTATTCTATTCTATTCTATTCTATTCTATTCTATTCTATTCTATTCTATTCTATGATGTTCCAAAAATCAAAAGCAAAAAAGTAAGAGTAATCCATCACTACTAGTTTGTAGAATATATATGCCCTTAACACCTAATATGAAAAAGGATGTGTTCCACTAGCTCCTTACTTTTCTTCTACAATTCCAACACACAAACACAGAGACGTCCACACAAAGACACGGGAAATTAAAAGAAGAAAACTGAAAATATAGTACATATTATCCAGCCAGAACATTTAAAGGGAGTAATGAACTTTTTGCTTTTTTCAGTAGTTATTTTATGTATGAGTTGAACAAATAATCCATTATTTAACAGAACAAAGGTTTATGAAAATGATTGTAGCATAGCTATAATTCTTGGTGATAAATTAAGCAAACACATGTATTTGTCATTTAATCCAGAAGTGTACTCCTATTTGACCAACAAGGAAGATTTCTAAATGAATCCACCAGATGTTCAAGTGAAACCATAATTATTTCATTTCAGTACACTAAAACAAATTTATCTCCCAATATAGGTAACAATATAAAATCAGCTTTCATGTTTTTGAGGATATAGTCTTCATGTGAAATTAAATTAATTATTAGAATCCAGTGGCACATATCTTGGAAAAATAAAACTTGGCTTATAATGCGTTAGTCAAAAGAAATTATAAACTAATAATTTAAAGATACTGTACTGCTTTTTTTGTATAAGAACAGGAAGGATCATGTACCTTTCATGCAGAAAGTCCAAAGTTCAACCCTCAACATCTCTAGCTAGCATTAAAAAAGCTTCTTATCTGGAATTCTGGATAGTTTTTGCCAATTATTATACTGAAGTAGGTGGAAGGTTGACATGTAACTATATTCTGTGATCCACGACTAAGAAAACTTTAATTCTTCCAGGATCTTTAGCAGAAACATCATTTAATATTATCTTCCTGGATGGAGTATTCTGTATATTTCAGGTTCTCTCTTCCTATAGATTGGCCTAGTTGATAAGGGGACTGAATATTTCTAAGCAGTTTCCACTGTCTTCATTAATGTAGCTGATCATCATTTTAAAAGCAGCTCAGTGATATAAATTCTATTGCATACCTTGTTCCACAGGGTCCCGTAATCCAAGTACATGGCTTGGCTCTCCCAGAGCTATAGGTTTGTACATTGTCAACCACAATGGTGGGTTGAAGCCTTGTGTGAACATAGGCACACCAATTCCTAAGCAAAAAGAAAGAGAAACAAAATTTATTATACAACTGATAACATAAATGAAAATCCTGATGGGCATCTGAAAAAAAAACCCAACTAGGCTAAGAGGTAGGAAAATGCAGATTTTGTTCTGCATTCCAGAATTACTGGCTTGTTATTTCCAAGGCAGCAAGTACAGCTGACCAAGCAAAAGAGATTTACATGCTTACCAGTAATTCACCAGGAATGCAACCATTTACCAGTATAAGGAGGAGCTTATACTGGGAGTTGTGAGGAGCCTTCTGAGTTTTACATGTGGCAGAATTTGGATCCACTGTATTAGATTTCTACCCATAGGCTATATGTCTATGGAGATTCTCAGTCATCCAGGTCATGGTTGCCCCAAAGATGTTTAGAACTGAAGAAGCTTCTTGGACGAGAAGGGATCAAGCAAAAACAAAGTCCAATTGCCTTGAAAAAAACCATCTTTGGGATATCCACGACTATCATCTCCATTGATATCTGGCATATAGCAATCAATAACAATGAATAGTACAGCAATACTGCATTTAAGTAACTTGCTTGCAAAGGAAACAAAAAGAAAAGATAGAAATATAAACCCATGCTTGATCAAATTTAGAATAAGCTAATCTATTTTCATCTCAAAATACGTTCACTTATATAGGCCCATTCTGATCTGTTTCCATTTGAATCATTGAATTATACAGCTGGAAGGGACCTTGGAGGTCTTCTAGTCCAACCGTCTGCCCAAGGCCGGAGTCTTTATATCATCCCCAACAAATGGTTGTCCAATCTTTTCTTGAAAACCTCCAGCAATGGAGCACCCAGAACTCTGGGAGGCAAGCTGTTCCACTGATTAATTTTTCTCAATGTCAGGAAATTCCTCCTTAATTCCAGTTATATAGCTAAACTGTAATAAGTGTGTGGTATGGGGAGAAGGTTAAGTAGCCAATGGAATGCTTTGTGACCAAAGACTTACAGTGAAACTCTGGAAAACTGTGAAAGCTTGTGGATGTTTATCTTCTGATCAGTGGTGGGATTCAAATATGTGAACAACCAGTTCTCTGTGTGGATGCTGCTTCCGGAAGTCCATTCTGGGCCTGGGCAACAAAAAATTAGCTACCGGTTCTGCTGAGGTGATGCGAACTGGCTGAATCCCACCACTGCTTCTGAGGGGCACATTATGCGAAGTTTGCACTGTTTATATTTCATTCATATTGGAAGGGGATGACTTCCCACACACCCTTGGGGATGGCTGGAGACTTCAGGATGCTCCCTCCACCTTGTTAAACTTCATCCTGCTATTTTCCCTACTGTGAGGTCAGTTGGGCTTAGAGAGAGCGACTGTCCTAAAGTCACACAATCGAATTTCATGCCTAAAGAGAGACCAGAACTGACAGTTTGAAGACCCCTGGCTTAGGTTTCTAGCCTGGTGCCTTTACCACTAGATCACACTTGGTCTCAAATGTCTAAGTCAGGGGTCTTCAAACCTGGCCCTTTTATGACTTGTGGACTTCAACTCCCAGAATTCCTCAGCCAGCCATGCTGGCTGAGGAATTCTGGGAGTTGAAGTCCACAAGTCATAAAAGGGCCAAGTATAGAAGACCCCTGCTCTAAGTTATCAAAATATAAAAATACAATTACCTTAAAACAGCAACATGAAACATTGAAAATAACAACAGTGAAAAGTTTCCAGTTTATATTATATACATAAACACTGAGCTGGAAAATATTCTGTCCTAGCTCAGACTATGATCATCCTACCCACTCGACCTTCCCCATCTGTCTTCCATTGATCATCCCTTGACTATACAACACTGCATAGCTTTCATAGTGGGTAAAAGCCAAGAGGAAATGCTTTTCCTTCTTCATGACTTTCCTCCTGATTTTTTATTAAATGGTTTTTGTCTATGTGGAGAAAAAGCAAGGGAAAATAGGGTCCCCCCCCATGGGAAAACATTTTCTTGAATGCTTTCTTGATTTATCCTGAAGTTACCTCTGCAACTATGCACCTTATCACCTGTAAAACATGGACACTGAGACAGCTAACTGAGTCTAGGAGTACATCCAAAGAATTACTGGCGTCTCCAAGAAAGTACAAGCACTCAGTTTTGACTGAATTAATCTTAAACTTGTTCCTTTTCTCCAGCCCACGAGGGACATCAAAATCTACTTTAGAATTTCAGCAGCCTTCTTGAATGAAGAGGACAAGGTATGTCATAAGTAAAGGTCAGACAGCTTAATCCCTGTACCAAAACTAAAGTCTAAGGCTGCAGATGTGATTTGGTTTATTTTTCAAGAATTCTCAATATCAATCAGCAGATGGCAACCTTTCCCAAGGCACATTTCCAAGACTTTTCATAGGCCAGCAAAGAGATAGACTAAAATAATGTACTGTCTTTACTCTGTAAAGTTTTTCTTTTTTTTTCTTTTATTAAAAGTTTTAAAATCTGTAAAGTTTTTCTTGAGTTGCCCAGCTTCCCAGTCCTAGTATTTGAGAATATAACCTGTTCTTCTTAATGTATACATCTTAATTTATACAAAAAGCCTTAATTCATAAAAACATTATTCAAATTAATTATTCAAATTAGCTTGACTGATTTTGAACTAATATTCAAATTAGTTTGACTCCCAATGACTTCGTGAACATAGCTATTTATGTTTCTCGGCAACAAAGCAAAAATTTGTTGGAATTTGTTCAGTATTCTAGTTTAGCCTAGGTCTATGCCAGGACACTAGTCTCTAGCTTAGGTCCTGACATAGCCTGCCAGTCAGCTATGTAGCTACTTATCTGCTTATCTTCAAAGACCATGTGAGTTAGCCATGTGTTGATAACTGAAATTCCATGGATCCATGGAAAAGAATGAGGAAGCATATGTGATGTTGTCAAGATAGACATCCTGTAAAATTGGAATGAAAATACATAAGGAGGACATTTGTGTCACAGTGTTACTGCACAACACCATTCTTTTGATATAATCTTGATTTGCTGGGGATTCCAGACATTAAGCATAGTGATTGACTAAGGTTTGTTTTTTTTTTTTAAAGAGCAAAAGTAATGACCAATCAAGCAGAAAAGAAATGCATAGCTTTTTTTAAAAATTGCATACTTTAGGATGTATTCATATACTTATATATATGTAGCTAGCATCCTGTAGTGCAGGGGTCCCCAACCCCCGGTCCGTGGTACTGGACCGCTGCATGCCAGCAACCGTTCCACACAAATAAGCAAAGCCCCATCAATGGGATGCAGGCAGCACACAAAACCACACACTCTCTGGTCCATGGAAAAACCTTTCTCCATGGAACTAGTCCCTGGTGCCCAAAAGGTTGGAGACCTCTGCTGTAGTGGAATATCTGCACAATGTATGGGCTAAATCCTCCCATATCCAGACAGGAGAGTCCACAGATGGTCAGAGAGAATAAGAAAGCTAAGATCTTATTGGGCTTTCAGATCCAGATAGACAAGAAGGTACTAGCCTATAATCCAGACATTGTGATAGCGACCCACAAGACAGTGGTGATGATAGATGTCACATAGAGACACTCTGAGAAATTCTTCGGTTCTATGACTTGTAAACTGGAACTGTGGCTCCAGCAATCCTAAGAACAATGTCACAGCTCTCTGTTCAGAAGAATGTAATGTTAAGAACAGTTAAGCGAGCCTGTTTGGTCTAGTGGTTTGGGCACCAGGCAAGAAAGCGAGAGATCATCTGTTCAAGTTCCACCTTAGCCATGGAAACCGGCTGGGTGATTAGGCCAGTCATTCACTCTCTCAGTCCAATCCACGTTGGGTTATTATTCTGGGGAAAATAGGAGGAAGGAGTACTGTGTGTTTCACTTCTTTAAGTTATTTGTAAAAATAATAAAGGCAGGATATAAGAAAGAAAGAAAGAAGTTACTGAACAGAACCTTCAAACTCCCAGGCCTCTGAGATTGAAAAAGACCCTTTCAAGGGTCTACAAAGTCAAGTCCATAAAAATTTCTCCGTTTTAATTTCCAATACAGCTAATTCTCAACTTGCGACCATAACTGAGCCCAAAATTTATGTTGCTAAACAAAATGTTTGTTAAGTGAGTTTTTCTTGCCACAGTTAAGTGAATCACTGCAGTTGTTAAATTAGTAACACACTTGTTAAATAAATCTGGTTTCCCCATTGACTTTGATTGTCAGAAGGCCGATAAAGGGGATCACATGATCCTGGGACACTGCAACCATCATTAATATGAGTCAGTTTCCAACTATCTGAATTTTGATCCCATGACCATGGGGATGCTACAATGGTCATAAGAGTGAAAAATGGTCATAAGTCACTTTTTTCAGTGATCTTGTAACTTTGAACAGTCACCAGATAAATTGCTGTAAGTCAAAGACTAGCTATACATAATTCTACTGATACATAGAAATCACCTACTATATACTCTCTTTGGATCCTTGGTCATTTTTAACAATGTAAAGGGGTCCTGACACCAAAACATTTGAGAAACACTGATCTAGACAGATCAAGGGAATAATTATTTCTTATCTATTTAGAAGGCCAAATGTGAATAAAACTTAAATGAAAGATTCTTCATGACTTTTTGCCCAATGTTAACACTCTTCCAGTCAGTGTTATTTCCCACATCCCTTCATATAATTGATTCATAAATCAATTGTTTTCCAGTGTGCAGCAAAGAACAAAAAGGAAATTAAATTCCAATGTCCCAACCTTTTATATATCCTGGGGGCAATGGACAATAATATTACATTGCAGTTAATAATTGAAAGAGTGTTGCGTAATGTTCAAAATTTCCTTTAAAAATGTCCAGCCACCATGAATTATTAATTGGGCACTGCCACCAGAAATGATCATGCATGCCACTTTGATCACAACCCTTTGACTAACATAATGCAATTTCAGGTGTGTACTACCGTCCGTGCATTGCTTTTACAGCCAGTTCTTGAAGACTTGCAGAAATAGATTTAAAATGAAACTTCTCTTGAAATCTAATTCATTCCACATATACTAG